CCCGCCTCGGCCTCCCAGCCCTGGTTCCTTTTAACGTAGTATTAAAATGGTATTTAGAAACTAATACGTGGGTGCTAGGTGTGCTGATTTCTACCTGGGTGTCATTGTTTCCAGGTTCTCTTGACGGACTGCGGTAAGAAGTGCATGTATGTATGTATATGTGCTGCATCTGTGTGTCTGTATGAAAACCATGAGTTCAAACCAGCATCTCCAATTCTAATTCAGCACCACAGGGTTTATTCTGGCCGCCTCCCTTTCTGTATGTTTAACTCACTTCTCCATCTGTGAGAAGCCTGGTTCCTGTTACGTCCTCTATCTACTTATTTGCTCACCTCCCCCATTCCCCTACCCACGTATATAACCAAACTCTGGCCACGCTTGGCCCAGTACATGCCCCTTCCCGCCCTTCCTGAGTACTCTGGCCTGATGTCTGCCAGAGTCTCAGCCCTCATGAAGATAAACGCACTTCAATTAAAGCGAGTTGAGAAAGACACTTGTGATGGTAGTTGACTCCTGAGAGAGAGACCGAGTAGAAGGGTTGCAGAAGAGGGAGACTTACTTTTTAGTATATATCCTTTTGTGCCTTTTGAATTTTTTTATACTATGTGCTTTCATTACCTGTACAGAACATAAATGTTTGAACTACAGTAATTTCAGGATCTTTGTTTTTACAATGCCTGTTTACCTAGCTGCTCTCTTCTACATTGTTTAGAGGAGAATTTGGAGTTGTCATTTTTTTCCTTAAGTATATTTGGCTCCTTTCTGTCCTTCAGGAAACAATACTTGTTTCTATGGGAAGTGTTATTACTGCCGAGAAACAGAGCCAGCTTGTGCTGACGGAGACACAATGGAGGGATCTGTCACACTTTGGCTTCCAGATGTGTGGCCTCTGCAGAAACACCGACACCCGTGGGGCAGGACTTACCGAGAAGGCAAATTGGCCAGGTAAATGCTCCTGTGAGCCGCTAGTTAATTCTCCCCTGTGCCTGGCCAGGTGCCAACCCTGTATAGGAGCCAGTAGTTCTGTCCAAGCGTAAAAAGAACCATGGGGTCGGGGCAAACCTGCTAGGTAGGAACTCTGTCTTCTCTTTGTCTTGAACAGTGCCAGGTACAGTGTTGGCACGCAGTAACCCTGGCGATGCTGCTTGCCTGCAGGTGGGAGTATGACGAGAGCTACTGTGACGCTGTGAAGAAAACATCCCCTTACGACTCCGGCCCGCGCCTCTTGGACATTATTGACACAGCCGTCTTCGATTACCTGATTGGCAATGCTGACCGCCATCACTATGAGAGCTTTCAAGATGATGAAGGCGCTAGTATGCTCATTCTTCTTGATAATGCCAAAAGGTAGGACCAGCAGGACTGTCCTGGTCAGTGAGCATACTAGCTCCCTGTGTATAAAAGAAGGACATTTTCTTGGGTATCCTGGAAAACATCCAACACACAATTGATAGAAGGTGTTCTTTTTTCCATTTGGGGCCTTTGCTGTTGGCACCTATCCTTCCTTCCACCCTTAGGGATCTTAGCACTTTAAAAAAATGGAAAAGTGGTGCTTTCAAGGAGTCGAAGACTCTGTAAGCCTCTTCAGAGATAACTGTAAACCAAGGCCTTTAGTTTGTTACTACCTATATCATTCACTCTTGGCTACGATGTTTAGAATCTTGAGAAATACACATTTAATAAATCATGGAGGGCCAGGTGCGGTGGCTCATTCCTATAATCCTAACATACTGGGAGCCCAGATGGGAGGACTGCTTGAGCTCAGGAGTTCAAGACCAGCCTGAGCAAGAGCAAGACCACGTCTCTTCTAAAATAATAGAAAAATTAGCGGGGCATTATGGGGCACACCTGTAGTACCAGCTACTCAGGAGGCTGAGGCAGGAGGATCGCTTTAACACAGGAGTTTGAGGTTGCTGTGAGCTATGATGACGTCACTGCACTCTACCCAGGGTGACAGAGTGAGACCCTGGCTCAGAAAAAAAAGACGGTGGCCTCATTAGCAAATGCGATAGAAGCACTCTTTGCTGAGGAGCCATATCTTAGCTTATTTCCAGCATCCAGTGTTAACAGTAGTGACCTGGTGCCTGGGCAGGCTCCAAGGAAGCCTTCTGTTCAGCAAACCCTATCAAATGTAACTGAACATGTGGCACTGAACTACCCACCATAGAGAAGAATGCAGAGAACAAATGATAACAGAACGTGTTCTCCAGATAGCTTAGGTGTCATCATAGCTCACTGCAACCTCGAACTCCTGGGCTCTAGCAATCCTCCTGCATCAGCCTCCTGAGTAGCTGGGACTACAGGAGTGTGCCGTGACATCCAGCTAATTTTTCTATTTTTAGTAGAGATAGGGTCTAGCTATGTTGCTCAGGCTGGTCTCCAACTCTTGGCCTCAAGTGATCCTCCCACCTTGGCCTCCCAGAGTGCTGGGATTACAGGCGTGAGCCACCACGCCTGGCCAAGGCTACCATCTTATACTGAACACTAGGCACCTCGTGCCCCGTGAAAGATGGTGACAGCCATAGAAAGTGAAAGGTCAGCAAATACTGCCTCTCCTTCCAACCCATCACAGCAAAGCAGGTAGTGGCCTTTCTGCTATTAATATTATATGTTCCTGAAAATCTTTATCCATTCTTGTAAAAATAATCATTTTTTTAAAAATGAGCAAGTGTACTATGATACACATGATATTAGATACGTATCAAAGTAGTTGTTGTAGTCTTTTGGGCTGCTGTAACAAAATACCTTAGACTGGATAATTTATAAACAACAGAAATTTATTGCTCATAGTTCTAGAGGCTAGAAAGTCCAAGACCCTGGGGCCAGGAGATTTGGTTTCTGGTGAGGCCCATTCCTCATAGATAGTGCCTTCTGCGTGTCCTCAGATGGCAGAAGAGGCAAACAGGCTTCCTCTGGCTTTTTGTTTGACGAGGGCAGTAATCCCATTCACGAGGGCTCTGCTCTCAGGGCTTATCTCCCAAAGGCCCCATCTCTTAATACTATTGCATTGGGGATTCGGTGTCACCGTATGAATTTAGCAGGGACACAAACATTTAGACCATAGCATTTGCCTTTGCTTTATATTCCTGGAGGGCCTGTGCTGCACTAACAGCTACCAGACTGCCCAGCTATTACGGTGAGCTTCTGGGAAAAGAGTAAAAGATTGTTGTTCTAGAATCAGTTCTCCTTTTCTGACACTGAATTACTGCTAAAATCATTTGTACATCTGCTTTGAATCAATGTTTCTTCAGCCTCTGTGAGCAGTTTTTCCAATTTGAATCTGTCCATATACTTATTTGTAAGGGAATAGGATATTGGTAATTTTGGAGTAGAACAAGTATAACTATTTTTTACAAGTAATGGCCATTTGCTTGTTTGTGGGAACCTAATATGAATAGCCTTTATTTCTCTCCCCGTGCCTTAAAATCTTTTCGGGGTAAGGGTCTTCAAGTCCTCCTTTGGGTTGGTGAACTCGACACTGTGTTTGCTGTAGTTATGCTCCAGCACCTTGCAGTATCTTGGCAGGAAAAAGGGTCATTGTACATGAGTATATTTGTTGTTAGGTACTTCAGTACAGGCTGTTAGGGATCCTGCATCTAATTGGTCATGCCCTGCTTGTGTTCAGTTTAAGTGATTTCAGCTGCTGGAGTGTGAAATTATCTAGGATCCCATTTGGGCTTCTCATAGAATTTGTTGATGTTTTGATGCTAAGAAGGGAACTGGTACTTCCACCTAATTCACTAAGTTTTAATTTAATTTTCAGCTTTGGGAACCCTTCGCTGGAGGAAAGAAGCATTCTTGCCCCTCTCTATCAATGTTGCATGTAAGTTACGCACGGAGATACACGTGCTTGTACTGCCTTCCTTTCCACGCTCAGGTAACAGTGCGTCAGCTCTCTCGGCCTTAAAGCCTTCTGGTACCTCAAGAGTGCATGTCGTACTTTTCCACCCGAGAACCCCTGGAGATCCTGAGATGAGGGATCAGGTGAAGGCGGAGGCAGGTAACCCAAAGCTCAGAATTCATTTCAAATTTTGTGTAACTAGAAGTTTGTAATCTATTCAGTAATACATGTCTGTGCTTGGTTTAATATCAGAATATAATCATCCCCCTACACACACCCTAGCCCCTTGCCAAAAATAAAAAAATCCTCTAGTAAAATCTGTATCCCTGGTTGCTGCACCTGGTTCAGGTTGTGGTTTCAAGTCCTCTCACTCACCTGCCACACACCACCTGGGGTTTGCGAATCTCACTTTGAAATTCTCTGGATCAAAAGTAACTTTTTCCGTAAGTATTTAATAATTGATTTTTTTAAAAACTCTGCATTAGAGAACAAAGAAATTGAAAAGTAGTCAAGAAAATGAGACAAAGACTGGGCTCCAAAGAGCTCCTTTTCAGATCATCCTTCCTGGTATAATTTTAGAGCACGCACGTCAGGAATCAGCTGGGACCCCCTGCCTGGCGACACCGAAGAGCAAGTCCAGGAGCGTCACTTATTACTAGTCAGCTCCCAGAGACAGTCAGTCACATAAGCCTGGCCCTGCTAGCAATTGGTCTGTTTTTCTTGTCTTTTCTTTCTTTTTTTTTTTTTTTGAGACAGAGTCTCACTCTGTTGCCCTGGCTAGAGTGAGTGCCGTGGCGTCAGCCTAGCTCACAGCAACCTCAAACTCCTGGGCTCAAGTGATCCTCCTGCCTCAGCCTCCCGAGTAGCTGGGACTACAGGCATGTGCCACCGTGCCTGGCTAATTTTTTCTATATATTTTTAGTTGTCTGATTAATTTCTTTCTATTTTTAGTAGAGACGGGGTCTCGCTCTTGCTCAGGCTGGTTTCGAACTCCTGAGCTCAAACAATCTGCCCGCCTCGGCCTCCCAGAGTGCTAGGGTTACAGGCGTGAGCCATCACGCCCGGCCTCTTTCTTTTTTTAATAGCAAAAAAATTCTGCAGAAAGTAACGGTTTACCCAGGCAACCCTTAATTGTCTTCACTAATGCTGGGAAGCAGTGACACATACAGTCAAAATATGCGCATTTGTCTTTGAAGGAGATATTTCTGTGGGAATAATTTCATCAGTCTGGTCTAGTCAGGATACAAGAAAGATACTGTGTGTTAAACAGGGGTATTTAATATGAAGAATTACTAAATTCTGATACAAGAGTAACTATTAAAAAAACTAGGGCTGAGGGAGATTACCCAAGGACAGACTTGGAAAGGGGGTCCCCTCCCCGAGGCTGAAGTCTGGACCAGTAGGGAAGGCGTAGTCCACCCGCTGGGTCGCAGAGACGTGCGCCGGTTGGCAGGTGCCGAGCAGGCCGGAGCAGCCCTCCCGCGTGCAGGTGGGGCACTGGCAGTGGGCAGTTGGTGTCACGGTGTAGAGGGACAGGTGGAACCCAGCAGGAACCTGTGTGCGGCAGGTGAGGCGCAGCTGTGGGCAGAGGGCAGAGGTGCCAAACTGGGCAGGCCTTCGAGGCTCTGGTTTCCATGCTGAGAGGGTCTCAGGGACACTATCACCAGGCTAAAGCTTCAAGGTCACTGAGGGCCCCGCCTGCTGGGAATGTGGCTGGGGCAGAGCAGCACTAGATGACCTCCACACACACTGACCCACAGAAGCATCCAGAAACCCCCTTCCTCCTGCAGTGTCCCTCCAGCACCCTCTACCAAGAAAGCTTAAGAGGAGAGATGCTTAGAAGAATTCTGTCCATTATAGCAGAGCATGTGCTGAAGAGCGAATTTGGAGCCGAGAGGCAGTGAGTGAGAACTTAGTCACGCAGGGGGAGCTCTGATGCTCTGGGCATTGGTGGTGTATTGCGGAACTTTAAAAAGTTGCATCTGTGCACGTCCGTCCCTTCCACGCTTTGCGCAAAGACTGGCCTTCCTCACCTTTTCAATAGCTGCAGACGTTTCCGCACACCTAGTAATTTCCACTTCACCCACAGAGAGGTAAGAGCTTTTCTTCTGAGATGAACAAAAGATGCTCTCTAGTTGGTGTCCTTGTCCATTTTGCGCTGCTATCACTGAATACCACAGACTGGGTCATTTATAACAATCTGAAATTAACTGGCTCACAGTTCTGGAGTCTGGGAAGTCCAATATCGAGGTGCCAACATCTGGCAAGGGGCCTTCTTGCACAGCCCTCGTGGCCTAATGACCTCTTAAAGATCCCACTTCGTAATACCTAACCATTTCCCAGTGGTTGGACGCTCAGATCGCCTCACATACATCCTGTTACAAACAGCACTGCACTCAACGTGTAAGTCTCTGTATATCTCTGATTAATTACCCAGGAAAAAATATCAAAATGTGGCAACGTGGCACACTCATATCGCAGAGGTTAATTCTAAAACAAATGGTTTTTTTAGTTAAAATATTTTACATTTTTTTTTTTTTTTTTTTTGTCTGCCAAGTAGGCTTTAAACCCCATGTGATAGTGAGAGGTTTTATGTAACTTGTCCTAAACCCTTTTCTTCCAGCATTCGGGTTTCTACCTGGAACAGACTGAACTACCTAAAGAACGGTGTGCTAAAGTCTGCCTTAAAATCCTCCATGGCCCAGGACCCCATCTCACCTGTGCTCTCTGAGCCTCACCTGGATGCTGTGGACCAGCGGCTCCTGAGTGTCCTGGCCACCGTGAAGCAGTGCACTGACCAGTTTGGGATGGACACGGTGCTGGTGGAAGACAGGATGCCTCTCTCCCACTTGTAATTCTCAACACAAAATAAGTGAAACTTCTTTTTACAAAGATAGAGAAACAGCACAATCAATTCCAGATTGTATGAGATGGATTGGAAATGGCCAGCAGCAAGTTCTGGTGATAGGGAACACAGTGGCCTTGGATGTCTTTGGTGTTTTCTGTAGCAGAAGCTAAAGCAAAGACCGCAAGTTTCACAGCACGGAGATGTTCCTGCTGAGTCACCTGGCCTCCACGGCAGTTGCCCATCCTAGCAGTGGGTATCATGGTCCGTTGGTCTTAATTCCCATGCCAAAGGACAAACAGGTGTGACGTTTGGATAGGGGAATGCTGGGATTGGTTCTGGAGTGTGTGTTTTGAGCTGAACCTTGCAGTCCTTTCTCCACACCTGTGGATTTTGTGGAAACACTTTGCAATCTCTTGTGTCTTTTTTTTTTTTAACCAGGACTAGTCAAATCGGAAAGTTAATAAAACCTTGTGTTCCATCAAGCCAAAATAGCACACTCTGCTGGAGGGGATATGGTTCTAAGATAGAATTGGAGAGAAGGGCAAAAGCAGGAAGATGTTCTGGCTTTTAAGCAGTTGGGTAGTACTGTTTCGATGATCTTAGGGGAGGGAAGAAGAGAGAGACCCAGTTGATAGAACCAGAATCAGGGAGATGGTTGAATTAATGAAAAACATGTTCCCCTGTATTTAGGTTCTTAAGGTCTGCAAAAAAGCAAACATGACTTTGTACTTAAGTAAAATCTGCATTCTCACATTTGTGTCCAAATTAACCAAAAAGTTGTCTCTGTTTCTAGAGAAAATACATTTATAACCCAAACATGATTTTCTTATGGAGACTAATATTTTTTCTTTTTGCTTAAAGCAGGCAAATCCTTTCTAAATTAACAAAGAAAACTGAAATACTTTGAATAACAGTCAGGTTGCCTGTGATCTCTGCCATCCTCATTTCTGTCTTAAAATGAATTTCCACCCCTGCCTTTGAGGTATTTGGTCATTGGAGCTGCTGTTCTCAAGACGATATTGGCCACCCTGTTTGTGCCTTTCTTGTGAGGAAAGGCAGCTCACCCCTACAGATGAGCATGTGCACCCTGCTGGTGGCTGTATCTTGTGATTTGGGCCATGCAGAAGACTGGAAACAAAGATTTTATGCCTTCTGAGCCTGGAAATTAAGGAGGTTATAGGAGGAAGAGCCTTAAGATTTTGATTTATGTCAAATCCCGATTTCGTTATTTAGTGTTATTTGGAGTTTGGAACCCATGATGTAGTATCATGCTTCCGTCTGCTCTTAGCATTCTCCAATTTCAGGTCGCTAAAACACAGTTTTAGTTCTGTGTTCTGGCAAAGTTGCAATAAAATACAGGGCCAGAGGAGGACAGGCCTGGTTTGCCCACTTTGTGATCTACTGTGTCTTGTCGAGGTATTGTTCCAGTTTTGCACTTCTGTCAAGCAGAGACTAATATCTAAACAGTGTGGTTGAATAAATTTAATGCCAGCCATTGGAGACCAGTTTTAGGCAACCACTCTTTCAAAAACAGCTTTAGAATTTATGCCCCGATTTTCTCACATTGAAAGATAACTGAATAACCCATAACTACTATCAAATATCATGAATTAGGGAACGTAATTTTCTATGTACATTTTGAGATGGACACAACAGTGGGCTGAGTTTTAAAAAGGGTATCAAATTTAAGACAGATATTAAATACAAAACACTGAATTAGGGTTAACAAAAGGAGGTATTGACTTCAATTTTTTTTTTTTTTTTTTTACACCTCAAGATCATTGAGTGAGATTTCAATTTTAAGGCTACTCGCTGTTATGTGTCCAAGGAAATTCATAATTAGCCACCCCATTTGTGCTTTTCTTGTGAGAAAAGGCAGCTCACCCCTACAGAGGAAGAATGTGCACTCTACAGGTGGCAGGATTTATTAATATCTTGTGATTTGGGCCACATGGAAGACCTGGAAACAAAGATTTTAAGCCTTCTGAGCCTTGAAATTAAGGTTACCAGGAAGAGCCTTAAGATTTTGATTAGCACTTACCACAAGCTTCTGAGAACAGCTGGCAGGAGGCAGCAGGAAGGATATCAGCTCTGCATTCCTTAGTAAATATGTTCCTTGAGCTAAATTATGGATTCGTGTTCTTTCAAACACACGATGCCTTTAGTCGGCCACACTGAAATGAATAAGAACTGTTCTCAAACTGGAAACTTCATTCAAAATGTGGAAGGCAGAAGATTCTGCTAAGGAAAAAAGCAGGAAGGAAAGCTGCTTTGAATATTCTCATCCTTTCTTCAAAGCATTTGCAGAAAGTGTATCATTTTATTCTCTTCCCTACTATTTTCAAACTCATGATCTTAAGAGGTATTTTGATTCACAGCAGTTAAAGTTAGAATTAAGCTAACAGAGTGGCACGGTGTGGCACTGAGAATGTAAGGAAAAGCGTGCCTAGGCAAACCTTGGAGAAAACCAACCATACGCTTACAGCCCCAAAATTCAGAAACACTAAATTCTGTTTGAAAAAAGAGGTGGGTATCTTTTTAAAAAAGTTTTGTAACACTGTTCTCTTTATAGTTTATTAGAATCTAAGGCTGTTACAATCAAGTCATTAGAGGGTTTTTAGTAGCTCTAAGGTGTGCCAACCAAACATCCAAAGGTAGATGTGGTTACATTTTTATATTATAAAACTAGGAAAATCAGAACTGATTGCAGTTTCCTGTCCTCCTCCCACTTCTAAAAGGGTTTATTCCAAAGTTTGAATGTAGAAATTTCTAAAACTGTTCTTTAATACGAGGCTGTATTGTGGGTTTGGGAAGGGGTGCAAATAACTTTCTGTGCAAAACAAATTTAACAGGATCTGATTTGTTTAGAGTATTGTTCAATAATGTATTACTAAGACATTTCTCCCTGTTTACACTCAGGGTTAATATATCAAATGAAATTTAAGAAGGAAATGGAAGAATTCAGGTCCATCTATTGCATATTATTTTGGGAAAGATGAATCCTTCACATGGCAATTTCATTGTCACTTGAAGTTAGCATCATCTTCCAAAGAAATTCATCTTTTCCTTTCTTAAAAAAAATTCCTTGGCTAGCCCTTCCCATGCACCATATCCCTTCAGCCTTCCTTCCCAGTCATCCATGTTCTTTGTGCAGTAATTGGCCACACATCGGTGATAAGGCAGCACGCATCAGTGCTATCTTATGAGTCATCCTGTGAGCTGAGCTTCAGGAAACATGAGTAAAGGTATCTGTATGTATATAGCTGGATATATATTCTAGCAAGAAAAATATATTTATTTTGACACAGGGCAACACTGACTCGTTACGTTGCTGAAGGACTTGAAGCTAGTATGAGGTTCTTAGTCTCTAAGAGGGGACCCTAAGTGACATAAAGACCATTCCTTCAGCAGAGACCTACCGAGCAACTGTGCCGTGCCAGCACTGGCTAGGCGTACCTGTGAGCCAGGAAAACATGACTTCATGAAATTTATTTTACAGGCAAAGGCCAGTTTTTCTCCCTGCAATTCTGGGTGGTAAAGAAGTAGGGGATGGGTACTCTATTGCCACAGGTTTTTATTAACTGAGGTGTTCCTTACAAACACAAAGTGTTGGGGGAAACTGGGAATAACTTACTGGGAAACTAATTTATTTGTTTAAACAGGAGATGTAGGAACCCTCTGTTTTGATCTGCCAAGGATTTTGTCTCAGAACTGTTGCACAAATAAAGGTTGTACTTGGTAAGACACCAAACAAGACAGATATGCACCTAAATTTCTAATGTGTTCTATGGGTTTCAATTCTAAAAAAAGAAAATGAATAAAGATTTTAATAAATATTACTGTATCATCTTTTCCTTTTAATCTTCCCCCCCCCCCTTTCAGGACATTTCCAGTGTTCCCTGTACCAATTTCCCGCCTGTTTTGTTAAGGGACAGAAGATTACAACTTTTGCTCACACCTAAATTTCAACAGGGACTATTTCATAGCATCTGATGGATATGACCTCTAACTTCCCTCCTACCAGGTTGTAACTGTACCAAAATTTCCCACGGGATCATTCTTAGGGGCTTTTTCTATATTTAATGGTTAGCTCCATTCTTGCAGCTTTCTCAGAGATAAAGAATTATGAATCCTGAAGAACTTGTCAGCACAGTACCAGAAAGGCAGGAGGAGAAAGCCAGTTGCCCTATTATAATTCTTAGGACACCCAGGTCTTTAACTTTTGCAATGGAAATCATCCAGCATCATAAACCTCAACCAGACAACTGAGCAGAGTTCTTGAGATTTTTGTTTTATTTATAGCGTATTTGTGCTGGTTTTTGTCTTTTGTGCTTGTACAACGTGGGAGGCTGGAGGCTGGTCCGTGCATCTCCCTGACTCGCACGTACAGACCCTGTTCCAGGCCACATTGCAGGGTTCCTTTGCTTCTCCAGCACACAGGACAACTGGTATTTGAGCTCGAAAAAGGCAGCTCGGAGTGGCGAGGGTGGGAAGGGGAGTCAGTTACTGGGTAGTTTTGCCCAATGTGTTTGCCTATAAAACCAATTTTTAGCAGCCCTCATTCCGTAAAATAGACAAGAATGGTCGTCATCCCTAGTTTTCCACGGGTGGGGTTTTGTAAGGTAAGTCCAGCATAAATCCCAGGGAAGAACGGTGTTAAATCACAATTTGTGAGATGTTTGCTTTTTCTTCAGTAGATGTTTGGGCATTGTGCTGCAGGCTGTGGATGCCACTGAGATGACAGTGACTGTCCCTTCCCTTCAGGAGCCTATAGTCCAGTCCTGGGAGACAGAACTACTTGTGAGGCCCAAATGCCTCAGGAATGAGGTACGTTAATGACATCACTAAGTGGAAATAGGGAGCAGGGAAGGATCGCTGGGAGGGAGGGTAGACAGGACCTGCATTGAAGCAGAGACTGATCCAGGCTCGACAAGGGCTGTGTATAGAACCCGACTCTGCAAACGCAGAGCATTGTGCTTAGGAGATGCAGCGCCTCCTGGCCTATGCTCCGTTTCAGTACCCGGTCACCAGAACCGTCCCTTCAGGGGTTCCCCTGGCCTTCATCAGGAAACCTTGGTGTCCCCTATCTCTTGAGAGGACCTCGGTCCACTGTGATGCTTCACATGCTCTATGGCATAGATGTTAAAGGGAACCACTGGCACACAGATGAGCTGTGAAACATTCATTTTGTTTGCAGAGTTTTCGTTTTTATATGCCAGGTTTATTTATTTGCTCAAACATTGTTTTCAAGGCAGAGGGTTCTGGTTGCCTTCAGCAGGGTTGGGACGATGTCTACTGTAAAGGTAGGTCCCATTCAGATGACCTCAATAAAGGTGTTTTCTATTTTATTTTATTTTATTTTTTGGAGACAGAGTCTCACTTTTGCCTGGGCTAGAGTGCCATGGCGTCAGCTTAGTTCACACCAACCTCAAACTCCTGGGCTCAAGTGATCCTCCTGCCTTAGCCTCCCAAGTAGCTGGGACTACAGGTGTGTACCACCATGCAGCTAATTTTTTTCTGTACATTTTTAGTTGTCCAGCTAATTTCTATTTTTAGTAGAGACGGGGTCTCGCTCTTGCTCAGGCCGGTCTCAAACTCCTGAGCTCAAATAATCCGCCTGCCTCGGCCTCCCAGAGTGCCAGGATTACAGGCTTGAGCCACCGCGCCCAGCCAATAAAGGTGTTATGTGCCCATTTTCCCTGAGAAAGAGCTTCTTATAGTGCATGCTTTGATTCAGTAGGTCTGGGGCCTGATATTCTGCATTTCTAACAAGCTCCTGGGCATTGCCAGTGCCAGAGTCCTTGGACCACGCTGGAGTAACACCGTAATGATGCTGGCTAAGGAATCACAGCTGCCTGTATTTCCCCAACAGCCTCTAGATGTCCCCGTTATCCATGAGCTCTTGCTCCTAGTACTTTGCCGCTAGCAGCCTCCAAGCCCTGAGACTGAAATGTCAGCAATTTATTGAAATACTCAAAAGACTTGTCCAAACTGGTGTTTGGATTCATTCCTTCTATGTGGGGCTGACTCTTTGGTGAAAAATGTTTAACTCTATTTTTTTTAAGGAAAAAATTGTTCTGAAATCAAGTTGGTTGTCTAAGAACTTCCCAGCTACCTAGTTTATTTGCCATGAAATGCTAAATCCAAATTAGAACATCTCAGAAATTAGCAGTTAGTCCTACATGAAAGTTACAAGTCAGGTGATAATTCTTTCCACCAAGTCTTTTTTTTTTTTTTTTTCTGAGACAGAGTTTCACTCTGTTGCCCTGGCTAGAGTGAGTGCTGTGGCGTTAGCCTAGCTCACAGCAACCTCAAACTCCTGGGCTCAAGCGATCCTACTGCCTCAGCCTCCCGAGTAGCTGGGACTACAGGCATACGCCACCATGCCCAGCTACTTTTTTTTTCTATATATTTTTAGTTGTCCAGATAATTTCTTCCTATTTTTTTTAGTAGAGACGGGGTCTCGCTCTTGCTCAGGCTGGTCTCGAACTCCTGGGCTCAAACCATCCACCCGCCTCAGCCTCCCAGAGTGCTAGGATTACAGGCATGAGCCACCATGCCCGACCTCCACCAAGTCTTAAAACTTGGATTGTTTTAATAAACTATTGTTACTATTAGTAATTTTATCACCATAAATTCACATATAAACTTCACCAGTATTAACTAAAGCCATCCAAGCCTCCTGCGTAGACCACACAGCGCCTCCTCCAGGGCTGGGCATATACAAAAATAAAAGCGAACCGGGGTGGGGAGGTCAAGCGCGGTGGCTCACCTCTGTGATCCTAGGACTCCAGGAGGCCACAGAGGATGGATTGCTCGAGCCCAGGAGTTCACGCCCAGCGAGAGCAAGACCCTGTCTCTACAAAAATAGAAAACTTAGCCAGGCTCAGAGGCTGGGGCAGGAGGATCTCATGAGCTAAGATGATGCCACTGCACTCTAGCCAGGGGGACAGAGCAAGGCTCTGTCTCAAAATAATAAAAAAATTAAAGTGAACGTGTATTGAGTGTTTATGATGCACTCATTGAATTATCTCATGTAATCTTCACGGCATCCCCATGAGGTGGACTATTTTATTATTCCTACTTTATAGGTAGGGAAACAGGCGTAGGTCAGTTAAGTAACACCCACTGTTACAGATGGAAAGTGGCAGGGCCCATTCAGCTGATCGCTGTACTAGACCGCCACTCGTGCTCAGACAACATTTGTTGAGTGAGTTTTCAAACAAGCACAGTGGTGTAGTCATTGCTTGCTGTCCTCTGCAGGATTAAGCGAGCCTGGCTGCACACAAGGCCGCACTGCTGCCACGGCCGCTGCTCTAGGAAAGGTTTGGGTTCGATTTGACATCACCCTGAGTGGCCAAGGCACAGTATACAAACATCACAGTACTTTTCAACTTAACTCTCATGGTGTCTTAAGAAAGGTGCTTATCTGGTTTCTGTAGCTGTTTGAGTGAAAGGGCAGATTTGGTGAGCTGCAGAAGATTGTGAACTAAAATAAAATTTTAAGGCTCACACCCCCCACCACCACCGGCTGACTGAATGGACCCCCTCGTGGCCAAAGGAATATCCTAAAACTAAATTGCCTGCCAGGAGGAGGGAGGGCAGACATACCTCATCATTCCCCCCTCCCTTGGGGACATCCTTTGTAACCCATTAAGGAGCCTAAGTGTATTCTAGACAAACCTGCAGGTCCTCAATTTACACAACAAACATATGTCCAGTGGCTTATCTCCGATTAAGAGCTTCTTATGTTAAAACATTCCAAGCCTTTAGACAAAGCTTCATGTCTTTAACCAATTACAAGTCAAAGAATCTTTAAATCCACCTATAACCTGTAAGCCTCCCCCCCTTCGAGATGGCCCACCTTTTCGGGTCAAACCAATGTAGCCTCCCACGTGTCGATTTAAGACTTGACCTGTAACCCCTGTCTCCCTGCAATGTATGAAACCAAACTGTGACCCAGCCACAGTGAGTCCACTTGCTCAAGGCTTCTTGGGCGTGGCTCCGGGTCATGGTCCTCAAATTTGGCTCAGAGTAAATCTCTGTAAAATTATTTTACAGAGTTTGGCTTCTTTTCCCATTAACAAGATGGAGCAGACCAGGCTCTAAGAGACTGGGATGAACACATGAGTCAATTTGCCTGGGACGTTTGTGAGACACGGTACTAGGACTCTCCCCACTGTCTGGAAAGTGCAGGGGTGAGGGGAAACTTGCCTTTTCCTCTGAAGTTCGCTGAAAGATCAACTCACGATAAAGGCAGATTCATGAGAGGGCTTTACTTACCATGTGCACGGGGAGAAAGAATCACAGAGTGATGACTCAGTATCCCAGTGTGGTTCAGATAGTTTTACACATGCCTTTTAGAGTGGAGGGAGGAGAATGAGTACAGGTAATTTTGTTTAGGGGCGTAAAGGGTTGCCAGGGAGGATGAATGCATAGGGGAAACAGATGGACCTGTAAAGTAACCTGAGACAGGCATTATGTTTTAAAGGATTTGGGCCAGGTCTGGGTGCCTTCTGCAATCCACTGAAATACCAGGGGGAGGCAGGGAAGTCGTCAATCCGGTTCATGCTGATAGAGGGAAAGCCCCCTCCAGTGCTGTGCTGACCTCTAGGCGCCTGCAATCCAAAATACTCTTTACACCAAGGAGTCGTATTTTGGGGTGGAATTTCCTGAGCTCCTTCAAAAGCCCAGCCTCGTAGCCGCTACACAGGACGTCGGTGAAGTGCGCTGCTCTCTCTCCACAGCAGTTTCCTCCCAGGACAAGATGGCTCTTTGACCACTGGCCATTGGTTTCAGCAGCTCGGGCGATCTGGAAACACGCATCAAGCTCTGCTGAAACGTAACAGCCTCGTCCCTGCTCAGTGTCATGGAGAAGGGACCCCAAAGAGGCCCTCAAGTCTTGCCAGTGGCATCTGTCGGGCGCTTACAGTCACCAGCACTTGAAAGCTGCAAACCGAACCCAGAAAGTCACACAGCACTTGGCCTCTTTTTTGTGAGCTATAATTACACCGACGTGAGACCTAGGACTTGCTCATGACCGGGGGAGTTCCAGATTCCAGATACTTCCTGACTGCAGCCCACCGGCTTCCTCTTGCTGTCGGCGGACTCCCGGCTGCGGAGCGCGCGGGCTGCCCGCAGCTGTTTCACTTCCCTCCGCAGAGGAGGCCGCCGCTGCCCAGCGGAGCTGCGTCCCGGGCGGCAGGAAGCTGCCTGCGGACGCGGGGCAGGGCGCCAACGGGCGTCCTTGTTTGGTAGCCTCGGAGGGGCCACCGGAGCCGCCCGAAAGTAACAGCGAGGAACCGACAGCGGCCATTGCGAGACCGGGCTTCACCTTCGAAACCACAGTCACGCCCAGACCGGCGGCCAGCGGCGCGCACGCGGCCTGAGCCCGCCCCCGGAAGTCGTCGGGGACTCCTGCCGGGGCGCCGATCCCCTTCCGGGTCACGTGCGCGGCGGCCATGCTTCCCGGGCGGCGGTTCCCCGTCGGGCTCGGCCTCCTGCTCCTGCTGCTGCCGCTCCCGGGCGCGCCTGGGCGGCGCGGCGCGGGGCCGCCGTGGGAAGGCACCGACGAACCGCGTTCGGCCTGGGCCTGGCCCGGCTTCCAGCGCCTGCGGGAGCGGCTGCGGGCGGCCGGCGCCCTCTCCAAGCGGTACTGGGCGCTCCTCAGCTGCCAGGTGTGGCCGGACGGCTGCGAGGACGACGGGGAGGCAGCCGCGGGGGCCCCGGGTAAGACGCCGTCCCCCGCCTTGCAGCGGCGCGGGGCGGTCGGATCCGCGCCGCGGCCCGGGGCCCCCTCAGCAGCCGGCCCGTCTGTCGGCCGCGCGGCGGGGACGGGGCAGCCTGGCGGGTCCGGACGGGCCCTGCTGCCTCCCCCACCGCGTCCCGACTCCCTGCAGACGCACCGTGCTGCCTCCCAGCCCACCTGGCGGTATTCTAAGATGCTGCTCCTTCCCACCTTCCTGATGTCTTTAAGGAAATTCCGCTGTGGACACCCCTGGTGACTGTCCCCACCCTCAAGCTGTCCCCTTCTCCTCCTCTGCTGCTTACGTAGGCGGCGCTTGACGACGTGCTGTGTGCAGAGCCTGGGCTGGCAGTTGGGACCTGAGTTCTGGTTCTGGCTCTGTCCTTGACAAATTGTGCAGCAGGGTCGTCACATCGCTGTCGTGGAGCGGATGGCCTGGTCTCTGTCTCACAGCCCGTCCTTTTCCAGGCTGGAGCCTTCCCCTGTTGGGCCAGCAGTACCTCGACGTCCTGACCGCGTGGTACTGCAGCTTTCAGGACTGCTGCGACGGCGGGGACTGCAGGATCTCCAACAACGTCACAGGTTGGACCCACCTGGTCTAAAGGGGGTGGGGATATGTGGGACAGGCCACTCGGGGGGAAAGGGCTAGACTGCGAGGGGCCTGTCATCATCCTGCCCAGCCTCGCAGCAAGCAGGAACTGCCACAAAAAGATTGAAGTCCGTTCTGCAATTATCTGAGGCCCCTCTTTGGGCAAGACTTGGAACTTTTAGGTTTTCCAGAAATAACACTCTCTAACAAAGGGAGCGATGTGACAGCAACATTAAATTAATGGTGCCATGAATTTTGCATCCTTCCACCTGGGGACAGACGCCAAAGCACCCCGTCCTGGTGTTGGAAGGAGCACCAAAATATCTGGACCGGGGTCAAGAAGCCCCTTTCAGCCTCTAGTTCAATAGCTCAGGCCAACCGAACTCGTTTCATGGGTCTTGGGGATCCATGGGACTGTCATGACCCCGTTACATCCAGCTGAGCAATGTAGGACAGGCTCCTAATTGTCACTGTCTGCCCCTCGTCTACAGTGAGGTTTTTCTCTGCTCATTTGCCGCCTACCCCCTCACCATGTCCTCTTGCCATGCCTGGGAGTGTGTCCAGGGAGGAAGGAACAGCTGAGATCTGCTGAGCCCCTGCCATGTACTAGGCCTGTGCTAAGAGTTTTGCGGGGATCAACTCCTAATCCGACATCTGCGACCCTTTAGGAGAGTCAGGCCCAGAGCACCTTTCTTTTTAAACAGAAACAGCAACCTCTCAGAAGGCAGTTGGAAGCATCCAGTGAGAGAACTGATCAGATATTGTAGGTTGTAATTAAAAGTATCCCTTTCTAAGCTTTAGCCAACAACCGTGTTTGTGATGCCACAAGGGCCTCCTAGTTTATCTGGGTCAGTGGGGCTGCCTCGGTGGCTGCGTTCTCTGAGAGAAGTCGGAGACTGGTCCTGATTATGAACTAACTCACCTTAGCCGCCGTGGATGGGAAACCCCGTGCTCCTTTGCTGTGCCTTCTCCTGATGCTGCATGTTCGTTCGGGTGGTTCCGCATATTGCAGTTGATTTGCATGTTGCCTCGCAGAGGTGATCCTTGGCCCCAAGTACTGAATCTGTTCTGATAAAGGACCACACACCCCCATCCCCAATCGCCAAATCCTGCAGCTTCACGGCCGAGGGTTTTGCACAAGTAGCTGCTCTCAAGTGTTTGCTGAATGGAATCAGAACGAACTGAGGCTTCTCCATGAAGCTTTTAGAGAGCTCTGAAACTAGGGGTGAGAGTGACCTAGGGTGTGGGGAGGGGGGTTCCTCCTCCAGACAGGTCTGTGCCAGCTGTTCTGGGATATCTTCAGGGTCTTTGGAAAGGGTGATTCCAGTTCTCTGAGTCCAATCTTGATTTCTCAAACTCTTCAGCAAATAGCCCTTGAATCCCTTCTGCTACAAGTTCTGCCCTCTGGCTTCCTGTTCTAAGGCCAAACAGGATGAATAACTGATCCCACCTCCGAGATCCTCAAAGTTTTGGTTTCTGGGCTATTGGCAGGGAACGTACCTGTGTGTCGCGGTCTGTGACTTCCTCTTCCCTGCCCCTAGGCCTGGAGGCAGACCTGAATGTGCGACTGCATGGCCAGCACTTGGTCCAGAAGCTGATCCCAAGAACAGTGAGGGACTACTTAGCGAGGCCCCGGCCAGACAAGGCCCTGGCCCTGTCGTTCCACGGCTGGTCTGGCACAGGCAAGAACTTCGTGGCACGGATGCTGGCGGAGAACCTGTATCGGGACGGGCTGAAGAGCGACTGTGTCAAGATGTTCATCGCCACGTTCCACTTTCCTCACTCCAAGTACGTGGACCTGTACAAGGTGAGGCCAGGCGCTGCCGGGCTTTCCCCACCGGGACCGGGGGAGGCCTCTGTGCTGGGGGCGGGGGTGGGTGGCTGTGCACAGACGCTGTCACGGACGGAGACACCACTCCATGCGCCCCTCACAGAGGAGGCCCTGAGCATCCAGAGGAAAGACTGATGTTCCAGACGCCATCCCCTGTCTGTCTCCCTGACAGCCACACACGGGAGGCCAGATGCTGGGCTCGAACAGATTAATCTCCCCACACAGACACAATCTTGTTAGCTCATAACTGTTAAGAGCCCAGAGAGAGACACACACACACGAAGCCTCACGTGTAGCAAAATGCTGTTTATTTTGAGCATCTGGGTGCAGGTGGGTGGAGGCGGAAAAGCATCCATGAGAGAAAAGGGGAGAGCCTGGGTTTTATGGAGGGCTTCTCCAGGGGGAGTGAGTAAGTGGCCAGAACAGCCGCTTGGGATTAATTCTTTTTCAAGCAACCAGCTCCTAGGACCCCTGCCCCAGTCACACCGTCCTGCAGAGGGAGGGAGGGATACATTTGTCCCTACAGGGGTGGGGGAGGAATGCTGGTCGTGGCCGTCTGTTAGAGTCACAACATCTGGGGACTCCCAGACTCCTGCTGCTGCTGTTTTACAAGCCTGAGTTTCACATTAATTGTATTTCGTCCTGTACATACTTTTCAGGTTCCCACCTGGAACAAACCTAACAGTAGCAGCATTTGTGGTATACTTTGCTGTCACACTTTCCCCCATACTGTTCACGTCAGTGTAGTTATTATAATGGACAGATAGTTGCAGGTCCTGCCTTTAAAAAAATAATAGGCACATCATGTCATAAGTGATTTTCCATGTCTTCCTGTATCAGCAACCAGGTGGACAGAAATTTCCTCTGCTGTTCCCCTATTTTGGGTTTCTTCCAATGCAGACACATAGTGTTTAAACTTCGCCAGAAGGTGACCAAACCCCCATCGCGGCACGAAAGAGATGACTGCACATCTCTTTGGCTTTCTAGTATAGCATTTGGAGTGTGTCAACTTGGGAAGATTATGTAAGCCTTTGAGGACGGAGTCTCCTGGCAGTTTCCATGTGGCCTTCGAGGGCAGGGGCCGGTCAGCTGGGCCTTCGCAGGAAGAACCGTCCAGCTCTGACTGTGACAAAAGTGCCGCGGCTCTAAGATCCCCACTGTGAAAACTGACACGCACGCACGCGCACACGCACGCACTCGGGTGACTGGGAGCTGAAGTCAGAGTCCCTGGACAGGGAGTGTGGGCTCTGGGGTGAGAGTTGGCCCCAAGTAATGTATTATTTGCCCAGTTCTGATGAACACTGCAAATAACCAGCTTTTCAATTGACAGTTTAGTTTCTTTTCTGGGGGACTCAGCACAGCCCCCTGTGGGAGCCCCCAGGTCGTGGGTTGGCTGGGCCCCAGACAGGCCCTCAGCCGGCTCGCTCCCGAGCTGTCAGCCCAGCCAGGGCGCCAGTGGACACTTTGTTCCTGGGAGTTCGGGCCAGGGGACCGTGGCTGCCTCTGGGCACATGAGCCTCCCCTCTGCCCGTCACCCCTGGATTAAAGCCCGGCTCCTACCCCGGTGGCGGATGAGTTGGGGGTTAGTTCCGAAATGGAGAGGCGAGAGCAGGCTGCAGCTGGGACCTTTTCTCAAGGGCAGAGAGAGGCCTTCCCCCTCCACCCAGGCTCGCGCCACCTTGTTTGGCTTTCAGACCTCAGAGGGCATGAGAATCACCTGTGAAGCTTGTCAGCTGCAATGGCCTAGCTCTGTCCCCGGAGGTTTGGATTTGGTAGCTCTGGGCAGGTGAAACCCAGCCACGGGCCATCTGTGGCAGAAGCCACGCCCTCGGGCTGGGGGTGGAAACGAGTCCGCCAGTCCCCAGCAGCTCCCCGTCCCCTGCAGGAGCAGCTGCTGGGCCGGATCCAGGAGACGCAGCAGCTCTGCCCCCAGCCCCTGTTCGTCTTCGACGAGGCTGAGAAGCTGCACCCGGGGCTGCTGGAGGTCCTTAGGCCACACTTGGAACGCCGGGCCCCTGAGGGCCATGGGGCCAAGTCCCCGAGAACCATCTTTCTTTTTCTCAGGTGAGGTGAGGTCTGAGGAACACCAGTCAGGAGGGCTGGGTGAGGGGAGGGTATTTGTGGGTGGCGGAGGGTTTCCACGCTCTCCCAGGCTGCAGAAGCTCTTCCTCAGGACAAACCAGCACATACTCTGGCAGGGAAAACGAAGCTCAGCTGCTTGGGTGGAAGCAGGGTGGGAAGCCCGCGGTCTCCCTGCTCCTGCCGGATTCTGCCCCCAGCACAGGTCCCTAACGAACTCAGGCCAGCCTGGAGCCGGGCAGGGTCCCCTCTCTTGCCCTCCACCCTTGGGCCGTGGCTCTCTGTAGGACTGGGGAAGCTCCCCCAGACTCCCCAGGGAGGGACGCTCACACACCGAGAGTCCCCCTTAGAAGGACATTGGGCTTGCCAGTCAGCCCACGAGTTGAAGGTCAAGTGCCAGCTGTCGTTGGAAAGTCCCATGGAAGGCCGGGTCTCCCACCGAGTCCAACACGGCCAGCTCTTCCTCCGGCCATAGAAGGTCTGGTGTTTCTCTGACCATGAGAGGAAGTCACTGGCTTGAGGTTGAGGGTGTGATGTTTGAATGAAACACGTTCTGAGTGCCAGAGTGAGGTTGGCGACACTGCCACGGCAGACCCAGTCACCTCCCCACACTGTTTCTTCTGTGCTGTTTAAATGGTTCTGCAGGAATTGCGCTTGGAAGTAACTTGTCCGACTCCATCTTTTAACGGAGCGTCAGCTGGGAGAGCCCCGCGTCAGCCAGAAGTCAGGCTGGGCCCGTCGGTCCGACCTGGAGGCTCCGCGGCAGCTTCCTGCAGACTCGGTGGAGTCGGTTTCTTCCCCTGTGCCCTTCCCCAGCCATGCTTGCTTGCCGGGGGGTGTCCTGAGCCGCAGGGTGCACGTCCTGAGGACAGGGAAGTGTGTGGTCGAGGCAGGGTTGCCGATTTTCATCCCAGCTCGCAGTGTGTGAAGGGGTGAGCTGCGAAAGGCAGATCTTGTTTCAGTGTGGACCCGCGAAAGAGACGGCAGTCGGGTCTTGCCTCAGCTGATGCGGTTTTGGCCGCCCCTGTGTGGCCCGGCAGGCCTTCCCGCGGCAGTGCGGAGTGGGGTGGCAGCCGCAGGAAGCAGAAGCGTGTTGTGAGCAGCTTTTCCAAGCGCAGGGGTCAGAGGGGGTCTGGCTGGGCCGCTGGCCTTGGCACGGGGTGAGGCTGCTCCTGCTCCTGCTCCTGCGGGGCTCCTCCCACCGGGCGCTCACGGCCACTGGTGAATTCCCGCTGTGAGGGACACACTGGCCCCTTCCCCTCCAGGAAGGAGCCACAGGACCGCTTGGCTAGACGACCTTGCGTTCCGCCGTACCTGCTCGGCCTCTAGACTGTGGAGGGAGGCAGGGACAGGACCCACTCAGCTCTTTCCCGTACCGAGGGCCGCCGGCGCACAGGCTGAATGAGCAATGTCGAGAGTTAGTGAACCTGCGAGTGTCACCTGTGAGAGAAAGAAAGGGAGCTGCTGGGTCCCAGCCCTAACGTGCCACCACCCTCCCTCCCTCCGCTGGATCTGAGGACGGAGCGGGGAGGGAGAGCAGGAACGAGGAGCTGGGAGGCCTGCCAGGCCAGAGCCCAGGAAGGGAGGTGGCTGCCAGCAGGCGGGAGAGAAGCCCGCACAGGGGCTGGCGGGGGCCAGCGGAGGAGCAGCGCCCAGCTGCAGGCCTCCACCACCTCCGTCCCTGCCCCTCTGTTGGCGGCTCTGTGATTTCCTCTTCTCTCTGTCTCTGCCCTCCCTCATGTCTCTAACCCTGTCTCTTTTCCGTGCTCCGGACCCATAATTCCAGTTGCCTAACGATCTTACAGTCTCTAGAGAGATCCCAGGCAAGAGCATGAAACCAAGCTTTCGTCTCTGCCTTTCTCCTCCTTCCAGCTGTGTTAAGGGGGCAGCGCGCAGCCCAACGCAAGCACCTGTTCTCTTTGACCTCCTTTCCCTCACTTCTCACACCCATCAGTTACGGGGTCCTCTCAACTGTGCCTCCAAAACTAATTCTTAAATCCTCCTTTCCATCCTTTCCCCATTGCCACATCAGCACTGAGCCTGGACTGTGGGCGGGAAGCTGTGCCTGGCTTTCTGCAGCCATCCTGGGCCTCTTCATCCTCTGTAGCCCTGGAATGATCTTAGGACATGAAGCTCATCAGGTCACCCCATACTTCCAAGCTCAGAACCCTCCCATGGTTCCCCATGGCCCATAAGCCAAAATCCACATACATGGCAGACAAAGGCCGCCTCGCCCAGTCTGGCCTGTGCTCCTGCTGCCCCTCGGCTGCTGAGCCCTGCGAGCCTGGCTTCCGAGCCTGGGCACCCCCTTCCGTGCCTCGTGTCTGATGGTGACTCCTCCGTCTGCGTCTGTTCAGAAGCCTCGTCCTCGCTCTGAAGCCTTCTCCCTAGACCTTACTTGCTCCACGTTAGCGCTTGCCACCCTGCCTGGAATCACACACGTCTGCCCCTCTGACGACACAGAAGTCAAGGAAGAGAGCCATGTCTTACCATCTGTGTGCTCCTTGCACCTAGCACAGTCTCAGTACGTGTTTTCCAAAGGGCGCAACAGAGGGAGGTTGGGTGGCAAAGCAGGACAGTGTCTTTTCTGCACAGACAAGATCTGGGAGAGAGAAGGCCCGAGCCCCGCAACCTGCAACCTTCCCGGCACCGATGCATCGGCTTCAGTGGTCAGGGAACCGTTCGGAAGCTAAATATAAAAACAGGTCTGTTAACAAGCTCTTATCTCCTTCAGCAACCTTAGGGGCAACGTCCTCAATGAGGTGGTCCTGAATTTGCTAAAGGCTGGATGGTCCCGGGAAGAAATCACAGCGGAACACTTGGAGCCCCACCTCCACGCTGAGATCGCGGGGTCCACAGGTAACATTTCCAGCCACACAGAACATAAGCCTCTGGTTAGAGCCACGTTTGTGTTTTTATGTTGGAATGTGTGTTTGCTTCGAAAGAGAGTAGTTCGCACTGGCCCTGCGAGCACAGGCAGTGGTTTCCGGAGCTTGCAGTCTCACCGCGAGAACCTCGCTGGTTCAGCCCCAGCCAGAGGTCGGGTCGCTCTCGCTTCTGCTTTCTGTCATCAGACAAAACTGTAAGCCTGGCATCAGGCCCTAGTCGCCCTGCTCTTCCTGTGGCTCTATCCGTGGTTAGCCGTGTCAACGGAAAAAAGACCAAACTCTGTAAAATACTTTTAAAGAGATTTACTCTGAGCCAAATTTGAGGACCATGACCCTGAGCCACGCCCAAGAGGCCTTGAGCAGTGGACTCCCTGTGGCTGGGTCACAGTTTGGCTTTATACATTGCAGGGAGACAGGGGTTACGGGTAAAGCCATGATGAATACTTGGGAGGTTACATTGGTTTGGCCCGAAAGGGTGGGCCATCTCGAAGCGGGGGCTTACAGGTTATAGGTGGCTTTAAAGATTCTTTGGCTTGTAACTGGTTGAAGACATGACACTTTGTCTAGAGGCTTGGAGTGTTTCAACATAAGGAGCTCTTTATCAGAGACAAGCCACTGGACACAGATTTGTTGTGTAAATTGAGAGCCTGCAGGTGTGTCTTGCATACCCTTAGGCCTGCTAATGGGTTACAGAGGATGTCCCCAAGAAGGGAGGGGGGCATGACGAGGCACGTCTGACCTCCTTCCTCCTGGCAGGCAATTCAGTTTTAGGATATTCCTTCGGCCACAAGGGGGGTCCATTCAGTCAGCTGGTTGGAGGCGGGTCTTAAAATTTTATTTTAGTTCACAGCCGTGGCCCCCCTCACCCAAAGGAGACACAGCTGTAGAGACATGTGCCGCCCTCCCAGAGTTGCTGGCACACGAGGTCAAGACCAAACCTTGCCGGGGCCTTAGGCTTGGGGACACCTTAAAACTCCAGCAGGGCTCAGCCCCAGGCCGGACTCCACATAACTTCGCTCTTGGTTTCAGACAGTGGCTTTGGCCGCAGCTGTCTGGTGAGGGACAACCTGATTGACCACTTTGTCCCCTTCCTGCCGCTGGAGCGCCGCCACGTGCGCCTGTGCGTCCGGGACGCCTTCCTGAGCCAGGGGCTGCGGTACGCTGAGGAGGCGCTGGATGAAGTCGCCGACATGATGGTGTACGTGCCCAGGGAGGAGCAGCTCTTCTCTTCTCAGGGCTGCAAATCTGTTTCCCAGAGAATTGCCTACTCCCTGCCGTGAAGGCTGGGTGACGCAGGGCAGCCTGGCATCGGCGGTCACCAGCACACGACTGGCGTGTGACAGGAAGCCCCCGCGTTAGAAGCAGAGCCAATTCTTAGCTCACTCAGTGCCTTACAGACACGTTACAAATGGCGCGGTGGCCGGAGAAAGCCACGTGGGAATCGGCAACCCCAGGGGCTCGTCATGGCTCTGCGGCTGGTCTTTGCGCTGCGGCTCCTCCTCCCAGATGCCGGGGCCTGCGGCTTGGGCTTCAGAGGCTGCAGGATTCGGGTTCCGGAGCAGAGACGCAGTTCTGTGACCTGGGAGTGCAGAGCACACCTCAGGGTCGCGGGCTGGGTGGGCTTCGAGCGGTCACTCCCGCAGGAAAGTTGAGCAGCTCTGTCCTGAGCAGACCCACGCAGCCTCAGGCTGAAGGAAGAGCGTGCAGAGGAAGATATTTTTAACATCAGGTCAGTGCTGGCTAAGACTTACTCTGCTCTACAGATTAAAAAAGATTTTTTAAAATTCGGGGTCTCGACATGACTGTCATAATTTTAAAGATTAAAATTTTGTATTTTTCTAGAGTCCTTGGCCTGCTTTCTGAGACTTAGTAATTGTGCTCACTTAGCAGAACTTCAAATGCCAGGGCGCCCTGCGGGGCAGGTGGAGACGGGCCGATGCGGGCGCAGCCGCAGGGGTGGGGTGTGCGGGGTTTGGGGCCGCGTGGCCGAGCCGGGTCGCACCTGCTCCGTGCGGAAGAGGCTCCGCAGCAGGTTGGTCTCGCACACGGAAGCTTCGCTGCTGTGCTCTCAGCTCCGGAAAGGAAAGCAGCCGTCTCCGTGAATGCCACGGCGCCGTGTGGACGGGAAGCTCTGGGCTCATCGTGTGTGTTTTTCCCTTTTCCTGCATCTTCCCTTCTGCCACACTTCTAGAATAACACATAGGTCTTTTTATTTGTCATCTAATGTTCCTCCTTACTTGTTTCTGAGACGGAGTCTCACTCTGTTGTCCCAACTAGAGAGCAGTGGCGTCATCACAGCTCACAGCAGCCTCAAACTCCTGGGCTCGAGAATTCTCCTGCCTCAGCCTCGCGAGTAGCCGGGACCACAAGTACTTGCCACTATGCCCAGCTGATTTTTCTATTTATTTTTTATAGAGATGGGGTCTCGCTCCTGCTCAGGCTGGTCTCGAACTCCTGAGCTCAAGCGATCCTCCTGCCTGGACCTCCCAGAGTGCTGGGACTACAGGCGTGAGCCACCATGCCTGGCCACGGTCCCTTTTTTTTTCTTTATTTCAGCGTATTATGGGGGTACAGATGTTTAGGTTACGTATGTTGCCCTTGCCCCCCTCCCCCCATGTTCCCTCTTATTTAAAGCCGTCCCCAACCCTCTCTCATTTAGCCCTTGTGAAACTGAACACTTTATTGTGTTCATCTACTCGATTAACTGCAAGGTCAGCGAGTATTGATGCCCAGCCTGAGCCACGTGGGGACGCACATAAATGAATTAAAGGAACTTAGTTTCGCACCACTCACGGGACGAGAGTGAAGCTACCTGCGCACGTGGGGGTTAGGTTAGCTGCTGGCTCGCTGTCTGGAGCGCCTTCAAGGACCGTGCAGGACGCCTGCTCTTACACACCAGGTTCTGAGCCCCGTAAACACAGTGTAAAGGGCACGTTCTGTATCTGTCAACGTCAGAGACGCAGAGCGGCTGATGTTCTTTGAGCTCTGGCCAGTCGTGTTTGGCATCAGAAATACAAGGTCTGAACCCTCGGGAACCAAAAGCAGCAGCAAACAACAGTGGATCCAAACGTTCTCGGAGCCAGGCTGGCGGGGCCCGAGTCGTGCCTCTGTCACTTACCACAGCGAGACTCTGGGAAAGCAGCTTAACCTGCCAGTGAGATTGAGAAAATGTAATTAAGCGTAGAGTTTATCTGCAGGCAAAGCTTGGGGATGGACAGCTAAGAAAGCACTCACTGCGAATGAACTGGGTTGGTGCTTCCGGAGCGGAGGAGTTGAGGCTTCACTTACGTAGGTGGAGAGGACACCTTTTAGCAGGATGACGTTTTCCATGCGAGGCCGGTGCGGCTGCGCATGCCACAGAGATTTGGTTGGTTACAGAGCGCTACATTCCAGGGAAGGTAACTGTTACTCCCTGAGGAGGGGGAGCCCTGAGCGGGTCTCTCTGGTGGCATTTCACCTTCATTACTTGTTGGGGGGTTGGGGGGGGCGGAACCCCGGCCCGTTTCTTTTAGGGTTCAGGCCATTTTAAGTTGCGGTTCCTTTTACTTTACCAAGGTCTTTCAAGAAAGCCTCGCAGATGACCTCAGACAGTCTGGCTCCCTTTATGTTCAGGAGCTTAGTCCCGTGTCACCAGGAAGGCTCATTTCCAGAGTGTCACGTCCCACAGTGCGGGGAGTTTGTCAGGCTGCACAGCTGAAGGGGTACAGGCCGAAATTAAATCAACGTCAGGGAAGTGGCTCAGCTGAGTCAGGCTACACAGCTGTATCTTCAATTAACGTAATTCTTTGAGCAACCATTAGTTTTTTTAGCTGTATGTTGACTGCATTGCAAACAAACGCCCCAGAAGCAGTGAAAACAAAAACAGGACAAAACACAACAAATGACTGTAATTTCTAGAATAAGTAGAAGCTGTTGTCACCACATTTCCCAAGATCCAAACCAGCTGCTGAGCCAATTGCTTACAGACAGAGTTGGATCTGCAAGTCTACTTGAGTTTTCGTATCAGCCATTAATGCAGTGATGTCATGTGACTCATCTGCGACAGAGGCACAGCGCTCAGTTGTTAGGACAGCACGGGTCAGTGCTTGCGCTAAAGCCATGGAGTTTTGTAACGCAGCCTCTTTTATAAAAGTAACTTCATTCTTTAGTAGCGAGACAACCACGTAGCTATCGTTCACAGAGTTTTCTGTATTAATGTAATTAATTAGGGCCTCTACGTGCCAAAGGACATCCTCAATACCCAGCTGTCGCAAAAAGATAGCAGCTAAATGATCATGCCGGTGGAATACAGAAGGAACCCAATGAGATCATAAATGAGGAAGATTTGGAGGCTTTGAAAGGGTATGAATTATTCGACCCTGTGCCCAGGTGTGACCTAAAGAACACCATCCTAACCATCCTGGAGGTAACCATGGCCACAGATTGGTGTTGCACAGCCAAGACGTTCCATTCGGAGCTGGCCAACGACTGCCCAGTCACCGTGCTCATTCAGGGGCCTGCGATCAGGGCTTTGTAACATGACGACGCGGATCCACCGTTCTCTGGGCCCATCCAGCCCGGATCTCTGATGCTCTTGGCCCATGTATCTTTGGTGTGATATTTTTGTTTCCAATGCAAAGGGGCAAGCTAAGTTGAAAGAGGGGTAAGCCAGATAAAACCACCCCAAATTCATTATGGTATCCCCAAATCAAGCTGTCTTATTTCTCCATCAGGGTAGCACCAGTGCGAAAGCTGTGAACTGGTGTCTTTTTCTGAAAAGTTCTTTCCATGCCTTTTGCTTTGTAAAGTGTTATTAAAAGGCCGGTGATGCGCATCATCCTTAGTTATACTAGTGCCAAATTCCAATGACGGTTTTTGAGAAGCACGGATACATTTCTGACATTGTATTCAGTCTCATCCTTGGAGAGGAGACAGCCACCATGGTAGGCCAGAACCCCTGGAAAGGGACCCGACAGGGATTGCTCTGTGATCACCGGCACGGTCCCAGGCCCACTGTAAGAAGAGCTTTGTGTCATGGGCAACAGCTGGCAATAGTAGCGCCCAAATAAGAACTAACGACAAAAAGACATTTAGTGGGAACTTACAAAGGAAGACCTTCCCCATTTGCTAGCAATTATTAAGTATTTGTTTAGGAGGTACAGGCCTGGTCCAGTGTCTGGGGAAAGCTGATTACCTCAACGTCATTGTCTTCTCATCCTTGGTGGTTCTGAAGAATTTCAATTTCAGATCACTAGTTTGAGATGAAGTCCAAACTGGTGAAGCAGCTTTCTTTAAATGCATGACGTGTATCCGGGAATTGATTCCTTTTAGTTTAGCGGCACAAGGTTGATTAGGAGCACCTGGTAAGTCCCTTCCACCTTGGTTGGAGACAGTCCTTTAAAAGACGCTGTTCCCAACTGACAAAGTCTGGTTGAAGGCCGTGGTCCTTGGGTTTTCTGTTGCCTGGAAGCCCACTGCGGAAAGAGTCTTGTGCTAAATTACAGTTTCTAGTTAGCTGCCTTTAAAGGTCTCTGCAATAAGACAACATAGCCCCTCTTGATATCCTAGAGTCAGCTTCCTTGAGACAGTCTCATAGTCTGCCTGTTACAATCTCACACAGAGATAGTCGCTATTTACCAAAAGGGGTCAATCTTAGGTTAAGCAAAACCAATGGAAGACCTTTTGGCCGAAGAATTTTAAAAACCTCAGTTCATTTTGCCAATTGAGTTTTGATTAGTCTGTTTGTTCCACGAGCGCAGATGCCTGGGGGCAGCAGGTGCCACGGAGATGGCAGAGAGCTGACCGGAGAGCAGGAGGGCCGGGGACGGGGCGGTAAGTCTGGACAAGGAAGTTCCGACAGAAGAGGGAGGAGCCGAAGGAGGGGAGAATTTGGGGTAGTCTTCTTCAATTTAGAAATTGCTTTAGACAATCTTTTGTTCTCTTGCAAAGAAATGACTTTATCAGAACCTTTTATAAGCTTGTACGTGCCACTGAAAATAACGCTCCCTGTTAACTTTAGAGCTGTTTTTTTCCTGCACTCAAATGCTCCACCCTGAGCTACACCCTGAGCTTTTTCTGATTCAGCAAGTAGATTAAGTATTTCAAAGGTGCCCCATTCTGGTCATTGTAATTTGGGGCCTTTGCAAGTTACGTGAGACTGTTTTTCTGAATATTTGCATAAAGAGGTGCTGTAAGTATTAAACATGAATTCAGCTGGTGTTTCTAATGATGGGTTTCTCCTTAAGGAGGAAGACTTGGTTTTAGAGATACAATTGCCCATAATTTAGATTTTCCTTCCTGAATGACCAGAAACCT